GGTTGCTCTCGCTTCTTGCCATGGCTCTGAAAGGTCCTGTGTGGTCTGTCTCCTCACTTCTGTTCTACTCTTTCCCTCGTGTACAAGTTCCAGCTATAGGTCCTCCATACCCTGAACACGCCAAGTTCTTTTCCATGCCAGGGGATTTGCACCTACTGTGTCCTGGCCTGAAGTCTTCGACCCTGACTCTGTGCATAGCTGCTCTTTCTCATCCATCATGGATCTACTCCAAAATGTCTTCTCCAGCAGCTCCTCCCTGGACACCCTCCCTAACATGCATGCCTCTTGCCCACCTACTTGCTTCTGTGGCACTCTGATCATTACTTCAATTCAATTCAACTCAACCTCATTTATCATGTCCTGAATTACCTTTCATTTGTTCTTTGTGCCTCTTCCCACCAGACCATAACCCTGTCTGGCCAGGGACATAGTCTTGTTCATCAGCTAGTAGCACCTAATATGCATCTGTGAAGAACTAGTTAAATTAGTTATGGCATATTCACATGCTGGAATATACCACAGATGTCAAAGAGCATGATGTTGCTAATATTTATTGAGTGTTCACAAAGTGACAAGGACTATTCTATGTATTTTATATTACCTTTGCAGTGGATACTATTATTATCTCATTGTAAATAAGAATTGAGACATGGAGAGGGTAAGTAGGTTGCTCAGGGTCATGATGGTTAGTGACAGGGCTGAGTGACAAGCCACTCTGGTCCCAGGACTTCTGGCTCTAACCACCACACACTCAGCCTCTCAGAAGATTTTACTGTCCTGGAAAATTGGGATTCTCTATTATGTTTTTTAAAGGCTTTATTGTGCTCCTATGTTCCTTGATAAATAAAGTTCAATTCCTAAAACAACAAGGAGTAAGTACAGTTTTCACAACATCAAGTAAAACAAACATTGTACTCTCCAAATAGGGGAGATGAAAAAATTAACCGCTTAGGTTAATATTGTCCAGATATTGCAGAACTTCTGGCCAACAAACTAGACATGGCTCTATTTCATGATGACAAGATACAAAATAAGCATGAATATGAAAGAAAGGACCTTCATCCCAATGTAGGTAATACTTATATTCTTGGTACTGTTGATCTGTCTCACAAATATTTTCCATCCTTCTTCTTTATATTTATAACAAGATATTAAGGTCTAGCTCAGTGCTTTGCATTCTCAAGACTGCCTAGAGTCCTTTCTACACCGTGTTTACTCTTGGTCACTGATCAGCTTTGTGAGGATGACACTGCCATTGTCTCAAACCTGACTGAACAATGGGATAGTTCGATAAGGGTCTACACTTTCAGTGTCATAGGCCTGGGTTTGAATACTGGCTCTGCTCCATATTAGCTGCATGAACTTGGGTAAATTAATCCCTCTGAGCCTGAGTTACTGCATCTGTAAAATGGGTGCATAATAATTCCTACATTTAGGGTAGTTGTGAAAACTAAATGAGATAAAGGTCCCAATGGCTGACCTTAGTGATGGGCTCACTACAAGAGGTGTGGTGGCAGTACCGAAACACCAGAGACACCATGGCCTCATACCTGCTCAAGGAGCTCACAGTCTAAGCTGGATGAGACAGGAAGGTCACCAAATGGCCTTAGGATGATCATGGCACATGCGAGGAGAGGTGTAAAAACATGCTGCTCAGAGAGCATGGCCACCAGGGCTGGGGAGATCAGAAGAAGCTGCCTGGCATAGAAAGAACTTGAACTTGCCTTTGAAGGAAGGGTAGGGACCTGATGAATGAAGAAACAGCAAAGAATATTTTTGTCAGCGGAGTTGGCATGAGCAAAGGTATGAAGACTCAGAAAGGAATCTTAACACTTAGAAACCATGAACCATAATGCAAAGCTTTCTAAATTTGGTTACATAAGAATTAAGAATTTCTGTCAACTAAGAGTACAGAGAAAAGATTAATAGTTGACAGAATGATAGCAGATATTTGCAGTGCATCTGAAAATCACCAAAAGATTCATATCTAGTATATACAAAGAATTCTTATGTAACCCATGAGAAAAGGATGGCCATGCCAACATAAAAATGGACCAAAGATTTGAACCTGCAATTTATAGGCAGGAAACCCAAAAAGCTAATACGCAGTTAAAGAGATGCTAAGAGTATTGGTAATGTGGGAAATGCAGAGGGAAATGCAATTTAAAACAAGATTTCCCTGCAGTTATTAAATCGGAAACACGGAGAAAGTTGGATACTGGTTGCCTTTTTATCAGGAGAGAATGGGGAGGATGTGTGGACACTGGGAAATAACCAATCCAGAAGGCAAATGCAGGGCTCACTGGACCAAGGAGGATGGCAGGGCATCGTCCTCGGCTCTCTGCCCTCAGGTGAAACATCTCCCTCCAGCTCTTCCCCAGCTTCACTGTCACAGCTCTAGTCCAAGCAGTTGTTTTCACTCATGTCAACTATTACATTTAGCCTAACTGGTCTCCCTGCCTCCTGTAAGCCATTCTCTATGGAAGAGCACAAGGATCTCCACGCAGCGTAAACCAGACTATGCAACTGCTCTGATCAAAACTTTCCCGTGGCTTCTGGTTGCTCTCGCTTCTTGCCATGGCTCTGAAAGGTCCTGTGTGGTCTGTCTCCTCACTTCTGTTCTACTCTTTCCCTCGTGTACAAGTTCCAGCTATAGGTCCTCCATACCCTGAACACGCCAAGTTCTTTTCCATGCCAGGGGATTTGCACCTACTGTGTCCTGGCCTGAAGTCTTCGACCCTGACTCTGTGCATAGCTGCTCTTTCTCATCCATCATGGATCTACTCCAAAATGTCTTCTCCAGCAGCTCCTCCCTGGACACCCTCCCTAACATGCAGGCCTCTTGCCCACCTACTTGCTTCTGTGGCACTCTGATCATTACTTCAATTCAATTCAACTCAACCTCATTTATCATGTCCTGAATTACCTTTCATTTGTTCTTTGTGCCTCTTCCCACCAGACCATAACCCTGTCTGGCCAGGGACATAGTCTTGTTCATCAGCTAGTAGCACCTAATATGCATCTGTGAAGAACTAGTTAAATTAGTTATGGCATATTCACATGCTGGAATATACCACAGATGTCAAAGAGCATGATGTTGCTAATATTTATTGAGTGTTCACAAAGTGACAAGGACTATTCTATGTATTTTATATTACCTTTGCAGTGGATACTATTATTATCTCATTGTAAATAAGAATTGAGACATGGAGAGGGTAAGTAGGTTGCTCAGGGTCATGATGGTTAGTGACAGGGCTGAGTGACAAGCCACTCTGGTCCCAGGACTTCTGGCTCTAACCACCACACACTCAGCCTCTCAGAAGATTTTACTGTCCTGGAAAATTGGGATTCTCTATTATGTTTTTTAAAGGCTTTATTGTGCTCCTATGTTCCTTGATAAATAAAGTTCAATTCCTAAAACAACAAGGAGTAAGTACAGTTTTCACAACATCAAGTAAAACAAACATTGTACTCTCCAAATAGGGGAGATGAAAAAATTAACCGCTTAGGTTAATATTGTCCAGATATTGCAGAACTTCTGGCCAACAAACTAGACATGGCTCTATTTCATGATGACAAGATACAAAATAAGCATGAATATGAAAGAAAGGACCTTCATCCCAATGTAGGTAATACTTATATTCTTGGTACTGTTGATCTGTCTCACAAATATTTTCCATCCTTCTTCTTTATATTTATAACAAGATATTAAGGTCTAGCTCAGTGCTTTGCATTCTCAAGACTGCCTAGAGTCCTTTCTACACCGTGTTTACTCTTGGTCACTGATCAGCTTTGTGAGGATGACACTGCCATTGTCTCAAACCTGACTGAACAATGGGATAGTTCGATAAGGGTCTACACTTTCAGTGTCATAGGCCTGGGTTTGAATACTGGCTCTGCTCCATATTAGCTGCATGAACTTGGGTAAATTAATCCCTCTGAGCCTGAGTTACTGCATCTGTAAAATGGGTGCATAATAATTCCTACATTTAGGGTAGTTGTGAAAACTAAATGAGATAAAGGTCCCAATGGCTGACCTTAGTGATGGGCTCACTACAAGAGGTGTGGTGGCAGTACCGAAACACCAGAGACACCATGGCCTCATACCTGCTCAAGGAGCTCACAGTCTAAGCTGGATGAGACAGGAAGGTCACCAAATGGCCTTAGGATGATCATGGCACATGCGAGGAGAGGTGTAAAAACATGCTGCTCAGAGAGCATGGCCACCAGGGCTGGGGAGATCAGAAGAAGCTGCCTGGCATAGAAAGAACTTGAACTTGCCTTTGAAGGAAGGGTAGGGACCTGATGAATGAAGAAACAGCAAAGAATATTTTTGTCAGCGGAGTTGGCATGAGCAAAGGTATGAAGACTCAGAAAGGAGTTAAAAGAAGCTTGTGGATATTAAGTGCAACAATCACACTCTTTCTTTTGTTGTCAGTGGTAACTCATGGAAGGTTTTTGAGCAGAGAGTGTTTAAGAAAGATTGCAAATCCCACTCCTAATGGTAGAACATGTGATTATCAGCATGTGTGGTTTGGGTGAGCTGATGCCTCCTCCATCAGCCCAGTGTGGCTCCTAGGAGTAAGACATAACCTTTAAAAGGCCCCTGATAAATGCCTTTACCTCTTCACCTGTGAGAAATTGGGGTGGGGAGTAGGGTGTGTGTGCGTGTGTGTCTCATCCTGTCAGGGTGTCCTGTGGGCTCCCAGTGCCCTTGGGCCATGCAGACCCTGTCTCAGGGTCTCCAGCTGTCACTCTGGGCCCAAGGGGAATGTGCTTGGGAAAGATAAATCTGCATGTCTGTGGAGGAGGAGGGGGAATCTGGAGCAGGGCTGGATGAGTCAGAGCGAGATGGTGGGAGGCAGGGCTGCAGACTCCATCCACCTCCTCACTTCACCTCTGGTAGGCAGGCCGGGCCAGGGCAGGGTCCTGTCCATCTGTATTTAGGTTGGGCTAAGCCTACACAGGCAGACACCACCTTTCTTTTGGCTGCTTTACAGGGACCGCAGGGCCTCTAGCTGGACGTGAGGCTGCATACTAACAGAGGCTGCCCTGGGCAGCAGTCACCTGACCATGAAGGCTGCGCAGAGCCAGGTGCCAGCTGCAGACGACACCGCTAAACAGCAGCAGCTGACACGCCATCAGTGGAGAACATGCCCTGAGCACCCACCACATGCCCAGCCCTGGGTTCTGACCCTGGAGAAATGGATTCCGAACAGACTTCTTTCAAGTAAGGACTCCTTCATTAGGAAATAACCTCTCCTGAGAATCAAAGATTGACCAAGGATTTTAAAAAAAGGATGAAATGTAAACATTTTAACCTGTGCAGTTTTGTTTCATGTTTTTGTCCCTGTAATCCTTACCATCCTTTCTTTCCTCAGACTCAGCACTGGTCTCTACTGCCCTGAGAAAGAAAGCTATCTTTAAAATACAAAGTGAAACAGAAGTTAAATCTTGGCTTCTGAAATTTTCTAGGCCTCAGTTTTCCTGTAAATAATAGATATGGAAAAATTCTTAGGCAGTATTTCTCCTACTGTAAAAACCAATCAGACCTAGCCCTGCCACGCACAGGCATTTACCCAAGAGGAATGCAACTTCCCATCTCTGCTGCCAACACCACCTGATGTGTGGGAGCTGGCGGGGCTGTGTGATTCCACAGAGAGAGCTCCTCCTCTGTGTGATGGGCATTGGCAGACTGCCTTATGGGAAGTTGAATGTTTGGTAAGCTGATCATTTGGTAAGTTGACTTTTTCCCTTTAAAAATCAACTTTAGTGAGGTAAAATTTTAAAAAATAAAATGCACCCATATGATGGATGAAAATTGACAAATACATACAATGTCAACACCACCCAAATCAAGACCTAGATCACTTCTGTCACCCCCCAGGAGTTGCCTTGCAGCCCTTTGAGGTCAATCTGTCCCCTTTACCTGGGGCCTCAGGGAACCATTGATCTGTTTTCTGTCCCTGTACATTATATGTGTCTTTCTGGAATTTCACATACATGGATTCATAGTGTTCAGTCTTTTGTGCATGACTTCTTTTGCTTAACATAAGGGTTTGAGACATACACGTGTTGTACTGAGTGTGGTCTTTTTCATTGCTGTATAGTACTGCATTGCAAAAAGATTACAGTTTGTTTATTCAGTCATCAGCTGAGGGACAAAGCTGAATGCAATTTTTAGCAATTATAAATAAAGCTGCTATAAACATTTACATATAGGACTATGTTTCATTTCTCTTGGGCAACTATCCACGAGTGGCATGGCTAGAGAGCTAGTGTGATATCCTATCTGGGCTCATAGTCCCAGGACCCTTGATGGAGGCTTCTGTCCTTGGCACTCTCCTCTCTCCCCATTTCTCCCCTTTCCTTTTTTACCTCTCCCCTCAGCCTTCTCTTTGTCCTGTTGGCTTCCCTTTTGCCTTCAGCATCCCACAGTCCTCTCGGGCCAAGCCTGAGGAAGCCACAGGGCAGATGGGGGTGGTGCCAAGCCCCTGGCTTCTTCCAGAGAGGGGTAGGGGGACAAGCAGCCCTCACTTTTCTTGGTCCAAAGCTGGCTGTCCAGGCACCCCCCACAAACTCTGCCAAGTCTCCTGGCACTAGCTACTCAGCCAGAGCACCTGGGGGGACTCCTAGATTCCAAAGGGTAGAGGGGTATCTTCTAGCAAAGTTCAGCTCTGGGGTAATTTTTCAGGACTCTGTTTGTCCTGCTGCTATTGTTTTAAGATCTCTACTGCTGGTTCTAGCCTACCCCATTCACGGGTCTGCCTTTTGATGAATCTGGGTCCAGCCAAGTTCTAGCGGAGGAATATAATTCCCCACGGTTGCATCTGGCTGAAGCCCCTGAGCCAAGGTTCTGCAGTCACTTCCTGAAAGTGCTGCCACCATCTCTCAGGACAGGGGAGTGGGGGTGGGGCAGTGCTGGCCTGGGAGGGTCTATGAGCAGGAGATGCCTTCACACCACATCCTGGGTTTCACTGGGACCAGCAGAGCTGAGGAAAGCCTTGGCTGCCTATTGTTTTCAAGGTCAGTGTCCACTCGTGTTCAGGAAGGCAGTGGTGTGGTGGTGGAGCACTGGTCTCCAGTTCGAGTTCTGCCATGTGATACAAAACAAATGGCTTCTTCTCTCTGAACCTCACTTTCCTCTTCTGTAAAATGGGAGGTTGGACTAGGGGAGTCCAGAATCCTAGGAGTGGGGCCTGGCACCTGTCTCTTCATCATGTCAATGAGTCTGAGACACAGCCACTGTGAGACCATGGAGCCGGGTGGCCTCAGAGTCCTCTCTTGGTGCTGACTTCTGGTGTCTGGCCTGCCTGCTGCCCACTGAGGCTGTACCGTGCTTGGGCATCAGCTCAGAATGAGAATAAATGGGGGCTTCTCAGGGCCCTTCTGAGTAAGATATGACAGATACCAAACTGTACCAACAGTGTGTCTGATGCCAGAAAGGAAGAATAGCCAAGGATATAGCCAGGAAAGAGTTAAAAGGGACTAGAAATGGGCTTTTATTTGGTGAGCAGGTTGGGAGACCTTATGAGGAGGGCATGGGGTGGAAGGGTGGGAGACAGAGCTTGTGGCCTGTTCTCTGCAGGATCCAGAGCTGGCAGCTTCTGTCCCGCAGCTGTCCACCACTTTGGAGGTGTGTGCAGGTGTGTGTACAAGCACTAGGAGGGGGATACACACCTGCTCTCTCTTATCAGGGGAAGAAGCAGCTGAGCTCTCACTGGAGAATGAAGTCCTGTTGTACCAAACTGGACTAGCATCAACCGACACTTGGAGGGCCTGGAATGTGACCCAAAGACCAACTTCCACTGTCCCCACAAGCCTCAGGCACGCTCACCCTGCCAGAGTCCAGATGTATGAGAGCCATGCCACTGGTTTGGGCAAAATACCCTGAGGAGTTTTTACTGATATTTGGTTGGTTTGAGGTAGTGGTCAGGGTTGGAGTTGAAGAACTGGCCCCGAGGAAGCCGAGTGGCTGAGCTGCCTCTCTGCCCAGGGGTGACTTGTGGAAGGCCCCCCACACCTGGCTGCCTGCCCCCTTCTGCCCCCGTCCCCCTCCTTACAAGGCTCTGTCTGCTTGGCAGGACTGGGACCAGAGCAGAGCTGCCTGGACACACTGAGGCAAAGGGCACTCTGGGCGTCCCGGTGGGTGGATGGGGCCAGACTGGCTGACACTGCCGTTGGGTTGGTGTAGTCTAGGCAGAGCCTGGGCGAGGCTGAGAAAGGAGTGGCCGAAGCCCAGCAGGCAGAAGCTCAGGTCTGTGAGGAGCTGAGGGTGGGAGCCACCCTGGAGCCCTCTCCCAACCTGTCTCCAGCAGTCTGGGGAAGCTGCCTCCTGCTCTTGGCTGGGGTCTGCTGAGGGGCTGGGCTCGGGCGTTGGGTCCTGTCACCTTCTCCTGCCAAGTGCAAGCAGCACCTGCCTCTTCCCTCCACACACCTCTGCCTGTAGGGTTGTGGTGGGTGGGAGTAGGGGGTTCCAGTCCTCTTTCTGGCAATGCAGATCTTCAGAAGGAAAGACTCAGGATTCTAAGAGGACAGACTTCACCCACTGTCATACTGGCCTGGATTCCTCAGCTCCACTGGCTGCAAAAAATAGACACATTTGAGTGTGACAACCAACCAGGTGGCCCAGGACTGAGGGATTTCCTGGGACAAGGGGCTTCCAGTGCTAAAACCAGAGTCTCAGGAAAACTAGGATGATTGGCTACTCTGTTTCAAACTTTCCTTGAAAATATTTTTTGAAGCAGAGACATACCTGGTATGCCAGACCTGGGATTTAAAATTATTTATATTTATAACTATTTATAATTTCTCCTAGGCTTTATAGTTACTTGAGGCAAATTAATTTGATCATTTTTAAATTTTATTTTAGAGTATATGGATAAAATCTATTTGGGACAATTCTAAGTATTCAAAACAATTCTGAGGTTAAGGGGTGACTGAGCCTGTGCATGGGATCCTGGTGTGCAGACATAATGATCCCCAGCATCCCTTCCCCTTTCCTCTGATAAGAGAACACCCTTTTCATTTGGGATCTTATGGAACATTCCTCAAAGGTGGGCACCTGACTAGTCTGGACAGGCGGCATCCCCAGACCCTTAGACCCAGTGATTGGTTAAAGAACAATCTGATCTCCTCCCCCTCCTCCTCCTTCTTTTTTCTTTCTAATATTATATGGGTGAAGAGAGGGAGATACATTAGAGAGAGAGAGGGAAAGAGAGAGATTCTTTTCTCTGGATTATGAACTTTAAAGACACAAAGTTTGAGGCATGGCTGGTCATCTTTGTCACCATGTGGAAGGACTTAGGACTCAGCCTAAGAAATGAAGCTGACATAGAAAAAGGTAAGTTGAGAGATGGGGAGAAAGAAAAAGTTCTAGGACATGATCTGGACTTCTAGATCCAGCTATGCCTGAAGCCCACATATCCCTTGGACTTTCCACTGATGAGACGATGAAGGCATTTCCCTCACCTACACCCCTTACACTTATGTGGATTCAGCTTTAGTTACTCTGTCATGTGTGGCTAAAGGAATTCTGACTAATACACCTAGCGACCACTTCAGTGGCAGGTCTCCACTTGGAGCTCTCCAGCAGGGAGCGGGCAGGGGAGGATTACCCAGCGTTGTCCTCGCCTGTGTCCTGAGCTGAGTCCCCTATGCCGTTAGAGCAGGGAAACCATGTCTCCTCCGGAACACATCTAGGGTGAGAGGCTCTCTTCTGTGCTTTCACTTTCAGGAGCCTTTTGGGGGCATATTGGGGCAGGACTCTTCCAAGTTCCTTCTCTCTTCTGCCCCAGTCCCCACCCCCTTATTTTGTGGATCTGCTGGGGTCTCTTGCTGGTCCTTAACTGTGAAAGTCAACACTGTAATACACCCACCTCCCACTCACATATCTTACTGCCTTTGTGATAGCCCCAGCATAGATCAAGTCTCTCCCATGGCTTGAATCATTCCATTTCAACACCCAGTGAACTCGGGTGGAGGAAGAACCGGTCATGTGTCCCTGCCTAGTGCCTGGAGAGGGGAGGCTCACTCCTGCCCCCCAGGTGGGGGTGGAGAGGAGCAGCCATTCTCTCAGAAAGTAAGGCTGACTTGAGGGAAGGGAAAGGCAGGCTGGGGAGATTAAGGCACAGGAAGAAGTAGGTGGCAGAAAGGCCATGAGGAAATAGAAATCATATCCTATGCAATCAGGATAAGGATTCACAAATGAGCTCAACACTTGAACTTCAGGGTAAACCTTTAACCCAAAGACATCCAGCAGGAGAGAATGGGAGAAGCAAAGCGGGGTGGGGCAACTTGGGGACAAAGAGATTGCCTTTCTGTCCAAACAAATACAACAGCCTCCCAGAAAAGCATACCTTTTCCACTTAGCTTTCTATGTGAATTTCTCCTTTTGAAAAATGTATCAAGCAATATTTAGATGTACAAAATGTATAGAGAATAATAAAATGAACACCCATGAATCCACTACCCAGCTTAAAAAATAAAACATAGTAACAGAGCGGAGGGCCTCTTGGGCACCCTCCCTGATCATCTCCCTCTCCCCCTTCCCAGGGGTAACCATGAACCTGAGTTCATAGCTGTCACTCCCATGCATTTCTTCATGCTTTTTCTACATATGTATGTATTTCTAAGCTCTATTTGGTATTAGTTTGCATGTTTTAAATTTCATATAAATGATTTCACATAAAGGATATGTATTCTGCAGTAAACTTGGGTTTTTGTTTCCCACTAGATACTGTTTATAGGATTCATCTGTATGGGTAAGTATAGATGTGGCTCATTCACATTCGTAGCTGTAAACTATATTCATCCACTTTTGTGTGGTGGACATTTAAGCTATTTCTAACAATTTTTGCTATTACTATATTTTATCAATTATAAGGCATGCATCTTTTCCCCCATTTTAAAATCTATGAATTAAGGTATACTTACTAAAAATGATATGTAATACTTTAAGTGGTGATGTTTTCCCTTAGTGAATGATATACCTTATATTCAATGAAAAATGGTACAAACAAAACTATTGTGAGATTTCTTCTGAGCGTGTTTCTTTTAGTGTATTTATCCCTGAATCTAAAAATTGCTAGCTTCTAAGGCATATTATCACCAATTTTTACACTTTGTTGGTAAGATATAAATTGGCATAAGCCTTTTGGAGTGCAATTTGGTAATCTTTATTAATATGTAAAACTTCATGACCTTTGACCCAGC